TTAATAATAAAAAGATATAAAAATCCCAAGGGAGAGAAGATAACTAAAACATCATATATGTAAACAAAGTTTAATAAATAATTATAAGAAATTACTGATGCGACTAAAAGATTAGGAATTGCCAGTAGTTATTATGTGAACAATAAATTTGTAATTTTAAGATGACAAAAAGGAAAGCTCAATGATTTTTTCAATAAAACTTATTCCTTATATTATGAAGGTATAAACTGTTTTAGGATCGTATAAATCATGTTTAAGTTATAGTAGTCCTCTCGAAGGCAAACATTTTATTACATTTTACTGGATTTTTTTTTCATCAATTTGAGAGAATGAAACTTTTTTTATTTTGATTATGTTTATGATAAAAAAAAAAAAGCATTAAATCATGGAATCGTGTTACTTAAAATTATTAAAGAAACTTAGCTATTGCGAGTTTACTAAATAGGCTACCTCAAAGCTAAGCAAATTAATACGATAACATAAATAAAGCAGGACCACACATTGTAAACTCGTTTAACATGAGTTTATAAAACCTAGTGAACATAATAAGGGAAAAAAGATCTTGTATCCCTGAGAGAGAGTAATATTTTAAAAAACTTGTCATGTTCATGTTTAATTAGCACCTTACACGGTTCAAAAAATTATTCTGAAAAATCTGAGATAAAACGAAACATTCTCGAGAATTCTGGGCCAACGTGACAAATGACATGTCAGATGACCAAAGCAGAAGCACTAACCAAGATAACAATTGAGGCCTCAAAACTCAAAACTCAAATTAGCTGTGATGGAGTTATTTCCCCAAAATGATGAGGGTCTTGAAGGTTGATGGTTAGTGTTTGATCTCACAACTTGGTTGGGTAAGGCTCCTCCTCTTGTTCCTGTTTTCGTGTGTCCAAACTCAACACCCCCCACCATGCCGTGTCGACGAACACACCCACATACCCTACACGCAACAAGAAACACTATCTTTAGGACATATTTCCCGGATAGAGCAAGAGAATACTATCAAATATTTTTTTATCTTATTGTATTTTTAATGTTTATTTAATCATTCAGATATTATATGTCTGTTTAAAATGTTTTTTTAATAAAAGAACTGAGTTAAAATAATTAAAATAATTTATTATTTTAGTGTGTCAAATATAAAATATAAAATAAAACAATAAACGTAATGTTCTTATACTATTTTATTTTTAGCGTATTATATCATTGCCTCTTTCATTTTATTCACCAATCAGATCTTTAAAATAATAGTCTTCCTGTCCCTTCTCGGCTTCTCCCAATAAGTACCCTATTCATTAACTTAAACATATATTTTAATTGCTTTTAATAATTTAAAATAAAAGCTATTAAAAAATATTTTTGTTTGATTTTAATTAAATAATCTTTTTAAAAAATTAGTTTAACACCAAACAGGGTTCGTAGTCAGAAGGTTTAGTTTGATTAAAGAAAATCGTGTTTGGTAATTTTTTTATGGTGAAAAATATTAATTTTACAGAAAAATAAATAAAGTTGAGGAGTACAATTTTTAATTTATTTATTGAATAAAATTGATTTTAGACACAAGAGTCATAAATTGAATTATATTAAAGATATTTTTAGTCCTTATATTTTATAAAATTTTGATTTTAGTATTTAAAAATATTATTGGCAATTTTTATACATTTTACATTTAAAAAATGATTTAAAATTATTTAAAATAATAAAAAGTTTGAATATTGAAAATAATTTTTTATTATGTTAAATTGCGCAAAGTACAGAGATTTTTAAGACTTTTAAAATGAATAAGTTATCAAATTTAAAACGCATCATCTTTGTTATGGCGTGCCTAATTTTAAATTTAAATTTAAATTAATTAACATTATTATAATTATAAAATTCAGCTTATAATTTTTTTAATTTGATATGATATATTAAGATTTAAAATTTATCTAAATTTAAATTAAAAAATATTTGAAAGAAATAAAATGCTAAATAAAAATATTTAATATAAGAGATGTCACATAATTTGATAAATAATTTTTTAAAAATATTCTTATTTAAGAATGATGATCAAAACTTATGCACTGTTTAGTTTTAAAAAAGAAGAAAAGAAAGAGAGAGATTTTAGTAAAAGACAGGGGGAATTTTAACCAAAAAAAAACTTTATTTAGTTTATAAAAAGAGAAAAAAAAACTTATGACTATATATTTAAATAATAAAATAAAAATATGAAATTAAAGATAATTCTATTTAATTGCACATGAGGGTGGTTGACATGGCCGAAAATAAACTGAGAGACACATGAGGCACCTCCTTAAGAATGTGACAATTAATGGAAATCTTAGTAACAAGGTTGGAACAACCTTGGGATATGGGACACTATCTTTTCCCCAAATGAATTACAACTTGTGCATCAAATTAATTTAGGCACCACCTTTGGAAGAGACATAGTAAGAGCCAGACATAGACCCAACACAAGGCCCCAAAGCTTTGCTTTAACAAAAGAGCATATCCCTAAGTTGCAGAATAATCCACCAAGAAAGAGACCCCTTGTCGTTGTGAATTAGACCACCACTAGCTCCTCCACCTGTCAAGCTTTTCAATGCTCCATTAACATTAAGCTTTATATCATCACCAGCAGGAAATGTCCACCAGTGTTAATGTTCCTCATCCAGGACCAAGATCATCAAACATCTACTTCATCAATATCTTTTGAATGTGTATCCACTAAACTACATAACATCATAATTTTCAGTAAAAGTAGTCAAAATAATGTCATGATAGAAATCCGTTTAACTCAAGTTAATATATTTATTTAAATAGTCGCTATACACTCTCAAAATACTGCACCCACTCCACTAAAAATATAATATAATATACGTGTAAAGCATATATAAATCATGCGTGTTGTTTTATTAAATTTAATAAATTATATATTTATATGATCTAAAATTTTATTATGTGTTCTCAAATATATATAAAATCTTTTTGTTTGAGAGTGTTAACTACTTCATTCACATCTATCCTCTGAACATAAAATTTTATCTGTGTGTTTAATTATAATTTGTACTACTCACTTTCTAAGTCTAGACGTGTTAAGTATAAATTGAGATTCATATACAGATAATATAATTGAAAAAATATAATTAAACTATGTTTGAAATTTTTTATCTTATTTATTTTATTTTAATTTTTAACTTCTAAATGCATTGTATACAAAATCTTTTTTATAAAAAAGATTAAACTTCATTATTATTATTTTTATATCCTTATGCTAATCACTCTTAATTCATCATTGTTGATCGTTTTCTTCTTCTATTGTTATCTCCTCCTCTTTCTGTTCTTTTCTTGTGTCATGCACGCTCATGGGGATGGAGTGTGAGGAACTCAACTCATTGCCATAGAGAAAGCAATTCAAGTTTGTAGACATTGGAAGAGGCATCAAGAGGTGCAATTGGTGAAGGATATGTGTTGGACAGAGCTATAATTGATGGTGCAATGGGTGGTTATGACCTTCAGAGCATGACTTCTTTGGTGGCTTAATGATGGAACTATAACAATGGTGTGGTGGAGACAATTTTAATTTCAAAGTCATGTGTTCAGTGACTCATGGTTTGGGTGTTGTTATGTTTGACGTTGGCAATTTCTCTCGGTTGGAATGATATAGAATAAGGAAAAAGAAAAATAAAGTAATAAAATGAAATGACAATGAATAATGGTTAGTAAAAGCAAAATAAAAAAGTTTATAAAGTTTAATGTCTTTAAAGAGAACCTATTTAAATTCTTTAAAGCACATCTAAAGTTAATAAAAAAGACCAAACCATAAAAAAATAGAGATTAAGGGTTTGTTTAATTTAGTTTTGATTTTTAATTTTTAAAATTATATCTTAAAACTATTTTATAAAACTATTTTTTAGAAAAAATAAAATAAAATTTGTTTGATAATTTAGTTTTTAAAACTATTTTAAATCAAACTTATATTAGTTTTAGAAAGAGAAACAAAAAAGTAAGAGAAAAACCTAAATAGTAATTCTATTTTTCAGTTTTAAAAACTGAAAATAAAAAATTATTTTTAAAATTTATATTAACAAATAAATTTTTCTATTTTTTTACAACAAAAAACTGTATTTAAAAAAAACAAACAAGCCCTAATATACTAATTTTATCATTTTTTATTAAATACTTCTATTTTAGTCAAATTAACAAACTTATAAACGATCGAATGAAGTATAAGCTAGTTAAAATGATTAGTCAAGCACACTCATAATCTTACTAATAAGTATTTCAAGGAATTGATTAAAACAACTATAACAATCTTATTAAATCTTTCTTGTTACTCAAAAGTAAATATTAAATGATTTGTGTTTAATAAAATAAATAATTTCGTACATGTTTTTTATGTATTTCTATTAACTTATATTAAAACAAAATCCAAAATCTAACTCGGACAAATTCAATTAAAATTAATCTCATATTTATGTACCAAAAAAAAAAAATCCAAGCTCAAATTTTTTAATAAGTTAAATACTAAAGAACCATAAAATTTGTATTTCAGAGAATGGATCATCCACCAATATTTGCTACTAAAAAATTACCCATAAAAATAAATTTTGGTGTACCATCGGTTAATGCTATGGAAAACACCTCCACCATGTCTTATTCTTGGATCGTCAACGCTTGTGGCTGCTAAACACGTAATTTAGCTATTTGAATTTTAGCCCGATTCGTGCACGTATCACTCAGCCAGAACTTTTTTTTAATTCTTTTAACAAGTTTCAATTTGCTGTACATTAAATGCACATGAACTGCGTTAATTCTGGGCTTTCCAAATTCAAGAGGGATGGATACATAGCGATTACCCAACAAGAAATTTAGAAAAGCATGAGAAAATAAAATTAAAAAAAATGCTCAAAGATTTTGTTTCTAAGCAGAGTAATATATTTCTCTTCTTCAAGTGTATGTTAAAATACAGAGCGGTGTCAATCTTCTGTTTTTACTTTTTCTTTTCTCTCTATTTCTTGAAAAGAAAAAAAAAAGGCAAAGGCAGAGAGAAACACTAAAAGGACCAAGAAAAAAGGAGTTATACAAGTGGGAATTAACAAGAGTGGAAATACAAGGCGTGAGGAAGTTGGCGATGATGATGATCATGGTGATGATGGTGATGGTGATGATGATTATGATGATGGGGTATGGATTCTTTCTCGATTCTCCAACGAAGATGAAGAAAGTCATCAACTGAACATGGCAATTTAAGGGGACCCTCTGGGTGATAGCCATAAACCTCATAAGCTTTGTCAAGAAGACCCTTGAAAAGAGGATGATAAAGATAAGAAATTGGGATCTCAAATCTTTGAGAGTTACTTCCACCCTCTTCTGATTCCTCTTCCACTTGAACTGCGAGCCACCCCTTCTTCACCTTCATCTTCTTCCTCAAGAGACACTGAAGCAGAGGAAAGCAAAAGAACCGTAATATAGGTGTTTGGTACTTTGGTTTCAATGGTAGAGTCTGGTAAAGCGTTTTTATTTTCTTTTTATAGGAAAAAATTAATATTAGTTTGGTTAAAATAATAAAAAAAACAACTTTTTGTTGTATGCCTGTGTATTATGTTCGTACTTGATACGGAATCAAAATAGAAATGGAGGGTGGTGGGTTAGTGGAGAAGTGACGCTTTAAAATGGGTCCCACGTGCCGTCCCATTCCGGAGTTGGAGGGTTTATGAGTATGAGACTACGAGTCAGATGGGGACATGAAATGGAAACTGAAAGCCCCATTCCAGTTACTATTGCGTTTGCCTGATCCTTCACCTCCAGACACGTGTTAGCATTTATGGATATTGGATAAAGAGACACAAAAGACACATCTTCCTCGTTAATCGTGTTTAACGTTGTAACATGGAATCATGAATGAGAGTGCTTAGTTGTGGCTAACTAATGGTTCTACATGCTTCCATAGAAAATAAATAAAGTTACTATGGGAGTGCACTTTATCGTCAACTTAATTTCATATTTTACTTTTCAACTTTTTAAAAAAAATGTATGCACATCAACATTATCGTTTCTTTTGGAGTTATCTTTTCAATTCTTCTTGTTGTAATGGGAAATAAACAAATCTCAATCATAATTAGAAGAGGACAATATGATTACCGATAACGGAGCACATAAACATAATTAATAGTGTCGTAGTCAGATTAGTGTCACGCTATCACTCAGTATCCTAGGGATATGCTTTAAAATTTCTTTCTTTATCCAAATCCTATTGTCCTAACCGTAGGATCTAGCAGATCATGACATAACAAAAGTTGCACTGCAACACGGCACTATAACAAAAACTAAAAAATATTTAGTTAAAGTTTGTCTTCTTAGTTGAAAGCCTTCATGTACGGATGTCCGGCTATTTCTCTGTCTCTGTCTTAATTTCAGTTCAGTATTTTAATCCTTATTTTGAATGGTAAAAGTTATTAAATATTTTTTTAAGAGTTTAATTTGTCAGTCATATTAGTTTTTTACGTTAATAAGGGTAATTGAATGTTAATAAATATGCTCATATGATAGTTCAAGCGTCAGATACAGATGATGGGACTGGCTAGGAAGGTAAGAAGTGTAGAAGAACTCAGCAATTGAGAATGAATATGGCAAACTAAAGCTTGATCCTGGTAAAGAAGAGAGATGAGATTGTTGGCGGGTTGTGAAGTAGGTAAAGATTTAGGGAGAAAGTTATGGAACAGATTTAGTTATTTCAAAGTTTATCTTTTTCTCTTATTTATTCATAAACTAATTAGATATTTGTATTTTTTTTCTGGACCCCCCCCTCCCTTTTTTTATGAAAATGTTAGTGTGTATTTGGGGTACACGTAAGAGCATCTTTCATTTTATTTAAAAATAAATAGTTGTGTGTATTAACTATGTCCACCTACTTGAAGCTCAAAAGAATGAATCAAATTAATATCGCTCCTACATGGATCAAAGAGTGAATTGGAGTCTGAAAATCTCTTGAATGTGAATTGTGTGTACAAAAGTTTTTGTCATGAATCTACATGTGCAAGGAGTGGTGCTTTTATAACATTTTGGTCGGTTGAGCTCTTGCTATCATTTTGTCTGTAAGCTGGGCTTTTTTTGTTTCGATAGAGCGAGAAGTGTTTGAAATTCAATGTTCACGAGCGCTGTGTACATTTTGAGGTGTTGCTTGTGTCAGAACAATTCATATATGTGTACATTTTCGGTGTTCATATATTTAACCATAAACGATAGGGCTCATCATGTTTGTTATTGTTGTCGTCTTTTTCTACGTTAGTGTTGTCTTATTTTTTTTCTATAACAGTAAATTTCAAGGCTTTGACAACGGTGACTTTGACACCAATGCATACGATGAATATGTGGCATTATTTACATGCATAATTGTACAATAGTACCTTTGCAGAATAACCAATATTCTTATTATTTCAGGCATGCATAGTGATATATAAGACCTACTAGATCTGGCTTTAAACCAAAACCATTTGTAACTAAACACAAATATGCATAGCAGGATGTAAATCACTATGAACAGTGAGTATTTGGTACAACATTGCAATACCAAATAGCTGTTGGCCTTCCTTTAACTACTTGTCTTCCACAAGTGTGGAGTCGTCATTGGTAACATGATCATATAATAATATTTATCTCTAGATATTCTTTATTTGAACCAGTGCTAACAAGATAGTAAAAAATAAGGCAATTGACTGAAAAAGAACATAGAAGAAAGAAAAAGGAAAAAGACATATTAATTTCAAGGTTTAAAATAAAATTATTTTATTAAATAGTTCTATTAATATTGTTGTATAAATAAAATAATTTCAAATAAGAATGAAAATAATTTAAGATACAGAGTTTTAAAATGGTTATCTATCTATCTATATTCACCAACCTTTTAAAAAATTATTCGTATATGCTTTATATATCTTACCAACATATAACAATAAAATGAATAACAAAATGATTATATATTTAAAAATTAATTATTATTAAAAAATGTGTTTAGCTCATTTATCTCCCACTCAAAACATGTAGAAAATAGAAAAATACTTATTATGACGTGATTCTTATCGTAATGAAGCACTAGTGGGCACATCTCTATCAACCAATTAAACCTCTTTTTTTAAAAATAATTTTGGAAAGAGATGAATTAAAAAGCATATATAGATGAAGACGAAAGAGGAGTAAGGGAGAAGATATATATATGTGGACCATTGTGATGGTGTCCTTGCATTTTGTTTGTGGTAACGCCCTGAATCAAGAGAACGAGTGATCGTCTCTCTTTGGCCGGTGAGAGTTGGTGGTGCCAAGCTTCTCCTTATTATCAACTTTAATGGTATCTCCTTACACTCTTATCTCTTGTCCATGTGTGAAAAAGTGCCCCCATGTACTTTTAGTGAATCAAATTTAGCTATAATTATGGATTAAAATAGTAATTTTTTAGTTTTTTTATACTAGTTTTTAAAGAAAAAATTATATTTAATCTTTTTAAAACAACTTTCTTCAACTTAAAGAAGTTCAATGTACCGATTTTCAAATGTTGATACGAGAAAAAAAAAAACGTTATGAAAAATTAGTTTTGAAGTAAGTTCTTTAATTTGTAAAGGACATTTTTTTAGTCTAGATCATCATCAATAAAAGACAATTCTATTTAAATCAAATAGAGTCATTATGTAATATATTAAAAAATCTGATTATTTAATAAATAATGTATAAGTATGGCTATATATATATTTTAAAAAAAATTAATAGATTTTAAATAAAATATATCTTAATTAAACTAAATTGAAGTGCATAATTCACACATACACAACTGCATATAAATTAAGTTACTCAGATTTTGACATAGATTTCACACTTCTTCAAATTTTTTGAAGTTAATTAAGTCCTCCAACTTTAAAATTTTCAGTCTCATCAATTTTCTTTCACATAATGTTCTTCAAAATCTAATTTTACACTGTAAATATTTATAAAATTGAATCAATTGAGTTATCGAAATAAAATATCAAATTCTACGGAAAAAATATAAACTTTATCTCTTTAAACCATAATTTTACACTTCATAATTTTTTAAAAATTTTACTAAATTTCTTACTTTTAAAATTACTTGATGTTTCAATTCTATTATAAATCCTCCAAAAAATGATAAAAAAAATATCCTGAGAGTCTTAAGTTTTAAAAAATCAATAAAAAGAACAAGTTTGTATAATTTTAATGATAAAAAAGCTTAACTAATTTTTTAAAATACCACATAATCAAAATCACACGTATTTCAAGGTAGAAAAATAAAAAATGCAGTTATACCTTTTAAAAAAAAATTCAACGGAGCCATTCTTTGAACAATTGTTTTTTTCTTAATTATTTGATGATCTTTGAAAATTTATGTTGATAGTTAATAAAAGAAACAATGAAAACAAATTCACACAAATAAAATGGATATCTTGTTTGCCTATATATACCAGATTGAAAGCTGCTTATGTCTTTTCTGAATATAAAGAGAATATGTGATAGATTGGTGTCATGGAAACATATGTATTTATCGATTGGAGACATGGTAACTTTGATTAATACCGTTCTTAATTTTATATTATTGCATTTGTTATCCTTTTTTAAGGCGCTGAAGTTAGTAATAAATGAGATTGTCACTATCCAACGAAATTTTTTTATAAAATAGTGTTAAGGATGGATCTAAATCTCTTGGATGAAATAGAAATCGGTTTGTAGACTGTGGAAGAATGGTGACTTGGGCATTATGAATGTGCAATGGTTTAACTGGGTGCTTCTTGATAAATGATTGTGACGAGGTGTTAATTGTTCAAGTTCATTGTGGGTGCGAGTGTTAGAAGTTAGGTATGATAGGAGTGTGGGTGCAGATTTGCTAGAGGTTATTCATCCAGAAAATTCATGGTTGGATGAGAAGTTGGATACGAGTGTGGGTGCAGATTTGCACACTCTTTTTTGGAGAGATAAGTGGGTAGGCGGAGTGCGATTGTATGAGGCATTTTCGCGATTATTTGCGATGGCGAGAAATGTTGAATCTTGTGTATTGGAGAATGATTTTCATGATGACACTAGGTGAGTTTGAGATATTAGTTGGCAAAGAGGACTATTTCAATATGAGATCTCAAGCTTTAATATTTTGTTAGAGCTTGTAAATGAAGTTTCTATTAAGGTACTACAAAAAGATAAATGGGCCGGTATGGAAGGCAGATTCTTCAGGTTGTTATTCAGTGCAATTTGCGTATTCATGGCTATTTGAACTTTTTGGTGATCATAATAGTGTAGATCAGTATACGGCAGACATCTTACAAAGACTATGAAGAGGAAATGTCTATCTTAAGTGTCTGGTATTTTCTTGGCAATTGTTGTTGAATGCACTTCCTTGTAAAGGTTTGCTGATTGATCGTAGTGTTCAAATTGATGATATAACTTGTTACTTCTGTCATGATTTAGAGGAACTTCCAACTCATTTGTTTTTAACATGTTCAGTTTCATC